TTCTTTCTTTCTTCTTTCTTTCTTTCTTCTTTTCTTTCCTTCTTCTTTTTTGGTTTAAATTTGAGACAGCATCTTGTTCTGTCACTCAGGCTGGAGTGCAGTGCCATGATCATGGCTCATTGCAGCCTTGACCTTCTGGACTCAAGCGATCCTCACCTCCACCTGCTGAGTAGCTGGGACTACAGACATGTGCCACCACACCTCGCTAATTTGTATATTTTCTGTAGAGACAAATTTTAAACATGTTGCACAGGCTGGTCTTGAACTTCTGGGCTCAAGAAGTCCACCCACCTTGTCCTCCCAGATTGCTCAGATTACAGGTGTGAGCCACTGTGCCAACCCACTTCGAGCTCCTTCTAACTCCCCAAGCCACCACATTAAATGTGCAATCTTTGCACAATGGGTCTATGTCAATAAATTTGGTCTGATCCAGTTTTATTTTCTTTCCACCACTATTCCACACCTTTAGTATCCATTCCCAGACATATTCCCTGTATTCCAATCTGTATAAATTAGAAAACTTAAGTAGTTCTTTTGGAGTGTAACATACCTCCTCACGGATTCCACTTTGTACCTCATCTTTAGGGGCCTGAGTCTAGTTATGGGTCTAGTATCAAAGAAGAGTAGTGGGGTCTTGAGGGGCATTAGTATCTTTTAAGACAACTGTTAGGATTAATCTCAGATGGGGGTGGAGTGGTTGCTTCTACGGAGAGTGGAGCTACTATTTTTAGTGGTGAAGAAAACTCAGAATTTAGGGGCTCAACATCCCCATTTTTATCAGAGTCTTGCTAAATATCCCCATTCCAACTTTCAGGATCACATTCCTTCCCAGTCAATGTCCTTACTAGTTGACACCCCTTACAAGCCTGGGAATTCTATTTGCATTGTAAGTTACCCACTTGCAAGATGAAATCTAGGGTTTGGTTTTCAGCAATTTCAGTCTTGTGGCTACAGGAAATAACACTGCCTTTTCAGGGCGGGTATGCAACTTTCAGGTCATTTATGCAGCACTTGAACTGGAAATTCAAATCCTTGGGCTCATAATTTTTTTCTCCACTTTCTTCAGCAGTATTAGAAGCAAGCAGCAAAGCTCGCTATACTTGTTAGTTTGACAAAACTGTTCAAAGATCTCATAAATGTGTCAACAGATCTTTGCCTTTTATAAGTGGTTGATTAGGAGTTTCCATTTTGCCTATTTTGATTGCAACATTATGCCATTAACTATTAATCTTCTCTCTAGAGTTGGAAATAGAGTTATTATTGTGTTTAATCAGATTATAGAGCCAATTCCAGAAATCTTAGAACCAGTTCAAAAAACCCAACCTTGGGATTTTACTCCTCTAGAACTACACATGGTATGAAAATCTGTATTAGTCAGCATTATCCAGAGAAATGCAACCAATAGGATGCATGTCTATGTATAGGAAGAGACTTACTTTGAGAAATTGGCTTGTGGAATTGTGGAGGCTTAGTGAATCTAAAATCTAATGGGGAAGGCCAACAGGCTGGAGACTCAGAAGGTAGTTGCAGTTCAGGTCTGAAGGCAGTCTGCTGGAAATGTCCTTGCTTGGGAGAAGTCAAGTTTTTTATTATAATCAGGTCTTCAACTGACTGGTTGAGGCCTACCCACATTATGGAAGGTGAGCTGCCCAATGTAAATCTCATCCAAAATCACCCTCACAGAAACATCCAGAATAATGTTTGACTAAATATATGGGCATCATGGCTTAGGCAAGTTGGCACATAAAATTAACCATCACATTGGACCTGGATAATCCAGGATATTTCCACCATAAATAGGCAGGTGGTTATTAAACTTACCCTTTGCCAAATAACCTAACATATCCATAGATTCTGGGGATCAGGATGTAGACATCTTTGGGGAGACACTTTTTTCTGCCTAACAAGACTACCTTTCATGTGCATAATAAAAAATAGTTGTTACTATGTAGCAGAAACTATACTACATAAAATAACTCACTAAAAAATTAAATCTTCTCTTCACCTAAACAAACAATGAGCTAGGAAGAAGCCACCCTGGGCCACCCTGGGCTAGAGATGTCAGTCTTGAAGCCGTCATGGTA